ATAATTATTCCAATTGCAAAAGTTACAATTCATAATTGTATCCTACCTCCAGTGTATAAATTCTTTGAGTATTTGTCAACGCTGATTGCGTTGATGCCAAAGCGATGCTTGTCATCGTCGTCTTGAGTGCGTAATTCATAGGACAGGCGGACTTTTGGTGCGAAAATTCGAGGACCCATATTGCACAATGGCCATTCTATTCTATCCAACTAGAAAGGTGTGATAAGCTTGGATTTAGCATGCACGCGTTTGGAAAACTACATATATTGTGACAGTAGCTCACATCAACTATATACTGTAGATTGAGAGCAGCTTGAGAGAGCTTTTAAATGTTGTAGATGATCGAGTTCTTAAATACCGTATATGAGCTATATGAGAGTATGTATGCTAACGTCGTGATTATGCTTGTCACTCAAATGCTGGGTCTCGGTTACTTTGCAAGTCTTATACATGTAAATATACAAGCTTAGCCATAGTATTATTTTCACACTAATACTATTTAGCATCCTCAGTATATAAATATCTTAATATAAAGAGAAAAGCATTTAGTCATAATATTTGGTTACAAATATTTTTATGCACACAACAGCAACTTAATGTATTGTTCACCAAAAAGTATACAATCTATAAATAGATATTGATGATAATTAGGATGGGCTTTTCAGCCGACAAAAAAAGTCAAAAAAATAAACGCACCTATTTTTACGGGCTATACTGCCTACCGCCCTTTCTATTTTTTTAGCTGGAGAACCAGGTTGGACATTTGAATGCCTATATCTGCGTTCATATACTTTCTAGTACTGCTCAGAGTCGTTTTTTAAGTATTATACAATACGAAGTTTTCAAGCTAGCTCTTAATGTATCGTGAAAGAAAGTTTATCACACAGTATGGTCTTTTGTATTATTTTGCGGTACACTTGGCAACACACAACAAGTTGTTTATTCACTGTTAGCTTAACAGCCACAGACTATTATTCTCAATAAACAATAAGACTTGAATCTGCTTCTTTGCACGCTATCGGAATCGATCACAATCCTTCGTTACCCCTTATCGTATATATCCATTAGGTTGTGTGCATACGTATATTAGATAGCTTTATGCGTATGATTGTTTAATACGCCTGAATCTCCACTCCCGTTACACCCAAGACCCCTTTTTTCAGTGCGTTGCGAAACACGTTGAAGAATGCGAAACACGTTGAAGAATGCGAAACACGTTGAAGAATGCATTATCATCGCGCTGGAACAAAAGTAACTTTTGTCTTCCCGACTCTATTTACGCCGAGCAACACAGGTGCTTAAAGACAGGTGAACTACACACACACCTCCACCTGATTCATGCTATCATTGTTGTGACAAATGCTGCAGACCTGGGAGGTCCGAATCTCTTAAACAAACACTACGAAAACGACATGTGAAGTTCGTCGAGAAAGTGGATAGGGCAAAATATAATTACTGCAATATTGTCGCTTTTAATTCATGTCTGATATCGGAGTTGAGGTAAATCCCTCAATAGCACACATGGGGTCGGACAAACTTCTAAAATATCAATTTGTATTTGGCGGCATTTTAGAAGCGGGGAAGGCATTCTCAAGGGGAATTTGGAATATCAATATATTATACTTAACATCAACAACATTCATCATTAACAGTAGCTGTTATACGATGTATTGTATTTCTGTAGCAACATGCCCTTGTATAGAATTGCACTCAGTTTTGCATTTGTAAGAGCTCGTTGGCTGAATATCAATATCACCTGCTGATTAACTAACGAAACTTTATTTGGCAGCGTATCTGCCAATTTCTATAAGGACCCAATTGCTGAATATATCACTATATATTCATTCATTCCATAGCAGTCGAGAGTTCAATAATTCTACATTATAGTGATTTTCATGGGTAACCCTTTTGGCATCAAGCTTTTTTAGACACTGCAGGGCCTACTAGGTCAGTTGAAACGGTTTTGTCGCCGCCGTGGCGGGCTTTCTCCGTATGCACATGAATTGCTGAATTTGAATGGGCTGGTGAAATTGGTTTCGTTTTATGTCCGATATAGAGGGAGGATGATCTGTACGCTGGTATTGCACGAGACTCAGTATCGGCGGAGCTGTTACTAAAGGCAGGATACAAGGTTTACGACGATACATTGGTGACCTATTGTTTACAATGGATTATATTACGATGGGATTATTGTCAGATTGTGACAAAGCGTTGAACGCGGAAGAATACATGTAAATACCGCATCTAAGCGTGTCTGTCAGTTGTTGCATGCCTTGAATACATTTACACGCATGCTGTAGCATAATCTTTAGCGAATTGTACAGAAATGTACTGGGACAATCTATATACAATTTGATGAAAAGGCATTTGTTATCCGCAACCCCGATATTAAATTTTACAAATTGCGTACGACGGAAATTTCTGGATATTATAAGAGCTTTACTGGTCATAGTCAAAAAACCCCACGGCTCATCCACGTATATTTAAATGAATGCACAGACAACATCGCAGATCATCGGGATAAAGGCGTTTCTGTGTTTGTGGAAGTATTGACTGAAATTTGATCTCATATATACAATCTCGAATGGATTAGTACTATAGGAAATTGATCTATATATATATATATATATATATATATATATATATATATATATATATATATATA